TGATAATGTGAGAAATGTTGAAGGTGTCTGAATAAATTTTGGTTTGACTATCTATTTGATAAATGAAGTTAACCAACTAACATTATACATACTCTTTTGGTTTCTGTACCCAATATTTTAAAAATGTACAAATGCAATGAAAATATTGGTATCAGTACTCTGTATCGGCAAGTACCAAAAATAAAAGTATCGGTATCGGGCGAGTACTGGAAAAAGTGGTATCGGTGCATCCCTAGTAAATTATATAATTGAAATTTCATTTTCATTTTGCACTAAATGTTGCACATATGTATGGGAAAATGTAAATTTAAATAAAGAAATGCATGGCCATTTTACACATTGCATTGTCATTTTGCATATTACATTTCAAAATGAATTTTGCTACCCATATGCTTCCATACATTCAGCGTCATCTTGGCTTGATTTCTTTCAAGAAGGACCATGATAGTGTGTTTTATTGTTGTTTTTACCTGAGCGTGTTTAAAGGTGTGCATAACGAATATGGTAAGACCCAGGCCAAAGATGTAAGCCAGGAAACTGGTGTAGAAGTAAGTTCGAGTGTTCTTCTTCAAACTAAGAGTGAAAGACGAGAAAATGACAGAACAGCTGTAAATCAAAACTAAAAGCACCTGAAGTCAGATAAAACAAAAAGAAAAGACTTTACCTGACATCAAAGCGCAGGAGCAGAGCAATGAAGATTCCTGACAGAACAGGAAAGAGTGGATTCAGTAATAAGCTTTTCCTTTAAATACTGAATATAATGGTCATGGCTAAGAGTTCACAGGTTGGGCCTCATTTGTAAAGTGTGTGTACGCTCAGATTTGATCTTAGAGTGTGTGTACGCTTAAATCCACACCAGCGCTCATATTTGTAAAAACTTCAGCGCCACGTCAGGGTCTGAGCAGACGTACACACTTTTTCTTGACCGTACCGAGCCGTACCGTGCCGTACCGTACCATGCAGTGGAAAAGCGCCATATGAATCACACCTACACATATTTGAGAGATGATCGCAAGATAAATTTTAGGATGGTTTCTGTGCAACATTTTATAAATGAGGCCCGTCTTGTGCAATACATACAGTAGTTGTCTTAAACATGTCAATGTGTCTCAGAAATCATCTTCATATATTTACCTGGAATGACAATGTCCCCCAGTCCCAACATGGCAAAGTTTCTGGCATCCAAACCTTTCTCCAGCAAGTCTTGTGGGAAAACCACTAGAACAAACAAGGAGTGGGAAATAGTGAAATATAAGAGTGAGAATTAACTACAGAAATATTAAGATTAAGAGTAGTCATTTCTAGCAGAAGAGGTGATTATCAGGGTCCCTATGCCTTTTGACTAAACTTCAAGAGCTGTTCCAGTATGACTGGATAAAAAAAATGTTACAATTAGTAAACAATTTTATTAAGATTAAAAAATAGCTAATGACATGTTATAGGTACATTGTACCTACAAGTGCACTGTATTATACTGCATGAATAATAATAAAAAAAAGAAATTAAAATGTTTTTTTTTTTTATAATTTATTTACAATAACTCTTTCAATCTGTAAACACTATGTAAACAAAAAGGAGGAAAATTAGAGATGCACCGATTGCAATTTTCTTGGCCGATACCGATTTCCGATTTTTTGTTAGTGTGATCTGCCGAAACCGATTTTTGCAGATTCCGATTTTCTTTCTAAGAACTATAATTGACAGCATATACAAACAAAAATCTACTTTTCTTCAACGCAAAGTTTTATTTTCATAAAAAAACTAGTAAAAAGTCAGTAATATAACAAATAAAAAAAAACTGCAAACAACAGCACAAATAAATGTAATAGAATAAAGTGAGCTTTCTCAACTATTTAACGTTCCAAAACTGACTGTGTTTAACTGGATCGTAGATACTCGCCAAAACGGGCATTGAGACAATTTGTTTATGTATTTGAATGTTTTAGCGCAGTTAGCCACTCATTTTGGTATTTGTGGCTCACAAGCTGTTTGAGACTGAGCTTGTGCGCTCCACTAATATAGATCAGTGGTGGTGCGCGAGCGTTTGGTGTAAGCGCGAAACCTGCGGGAATGACTAAAATAATGCGCAACGCAAGCACAATTTAACCGGAGCGAATGAGATGTGCGTGTGAGAGAAGGGGTCGTCGGAGAGAACGGAGCAAGAATGCGCGGCTGACGTTATTGCCTGTGCCGCTGGTAACAAAACGGATCGGCTCGGAATCCGAAAGAA